CAACCTTGAAGATGACGCAATCGAGATGAAGATCCTCAAGAACTACATGTTCTTCCACAAATAGATGGTGAGATACAATGCATTTGATATTACGACATTGGAAGAAACTTCCAATGTTTGGTGATTTTTTTATAGGTAGGAACAACTCCTGACGGTGTTCCAAGTATTTTATTTGAAGGAAGTTACAAAGGCTTCAACAATGACTAAATAACAAGATAGTCTTTTTACCCTGCTATGTGATACTATTGATGGGTGAGAGGGCCTATCAACTACCTTCAAAGAGAACAAAGATTGGAGTATGTAGCAAATTTAATTTACCGCATTTTGAAATTTCTCAACATATAAAGACTACTCTTCATGGAATTCATTTCTAGGAGGGGAGATAATGTCATGGACATATACATGTAAGCTAATAATTACATGTATAAATAGGTAGAAGTAAATAGAAGTAGATAAAAATAAGTTAATTCTATAATATCTTCTAAGAAAACTTTTTAGAAGCTTTATAGACGTTGCTCTGACTTTATAGGTGTCTATTATTGACTTTTAGGTTAGAAACTTGGTCAATAAGTTAACCATGTGTGACACATATTGGTAGCTTAAAGAATAAGCTAATTATGTGGTACACACATAGAAAAACTTGCTTTGTAAGTCAAAGTATGTGTCTCACAAAGTCAACACATTTTGGAGGTCCTATAGAATATTGTCACGTAGTCCTTAATTAGATAATATAAACAAAGACAAGAATGAAGCTTTTTTTACTCTTGTCAATTCCTTTCTTGCTTCTAGTCTAGTTTGAAGAGTCTCAAGTTTTCTTATCTTTTGGCAATAAGCTATCCTAGTTTCTTTTAATATATGTACTTTTTTTTTTTTTATTTTATCACTTTTTCTTTGATATGGATTTCATTAGTTTATGCATCATCTTCCAATTCATGTCCTTGATATGTATATAGGACTTAAGCACCTCCCTTCTTATAAGGAATATATTAGCTACTAGTCCTCTTATTTTCTACTAGAAAAATCAATAATTTTTCATTTTTTAATTCATCATAGTGTTCAATAACATCCAATTAGCCTAGAAACTTGTTTTGGCCTTCAAATCTTGTTCCAATTCTTCATAATGGCTCCTAAAGTGGTAAAATTCATTTTTATCAAAGTCTTTGAAATTGCTCTAAAAATTCATAAAAAATTCTTAATAAATTCTAAATAAGTTCTAAATAAATTCTAAATAAAATTTTAAAACTCATATAATATTTTTATAATATTAAAATAAATTTTTAGCTATACTTTATTATCTTGATGATTTTTTATAGTAATAAAATCAATTTAAATTTAATATATAATTTAATTTTTTTATATAACTAACTGAAAAGATATAAATTTATTTTTCATGCTTCTTCTAACTACTAACTAATATTTATAGTTTTTTTATAAATAATATTTATAGATAGAAGGCCAATATAAATATTGATCTTACTAAATATCCCTCAATTTTCAGTAATAAGTAAAAAATATTGAACCAACTAAGATAATTGCCTCTAAGACTTATTAAGATTTCAATTCTACAATGAATACTCTAATTTTCTATTTTCCTAAAGATTTCTATGCTATTCACCATATATTATGATTCTAAATACTCTAAATGTATTTTTTTATTTTAAATTAATTAGTGAATTAATTTAATAACTTACATAATGTCTTCTCACCTCTTTGTTGATTTTTTAAGAGTATCTTGTGGTAGCTTCAACATAATACTCAATATGACCATAACAATTGACTTTGGATTAGATAATGACTATTGACACACTATCAAAGAATAGTCTAACACTTGCTTTAATACCAATAAAATAGGACCGGTCTATCTCAAATGTCTATTAACCTTCTAATCCATAATAACATAAAATCTTATCACAAAGTATGACAAATTGGACCAAAATAAAAGTGAACAAATCTAAACAAAATGAGACATGGAAGATGAAACTGAGCAACTAAAATTAGAATAAAACAAAATAAAATAGAAAGATACAAAATCCAATTGTATTAAGAAAAAGAGTTTGAAGCCATATCTGACCAACTGCCCCAAAAGACTTTGGCTAGTCCTATTTATATTTTGTTGTATCACCTTAGATATTCTAGAATGTTCTTAGATGATAGACCCTATTTAGATAACCATCTTAAACTACTTCTAGAAGGTTCTATGGTAGGTCCTAATTACATAACTGCCTTACGTCTTTTATAGAAGGTTCCATAGTGTGTCCTATCTAGATAATTGCTCTAAATTCTTTTTAGAATGTTCCACGATTGATCCTATTTGGTCCACTAACCTTACTCCAATTCTAGAAACTTCTATAACTTTTCAAACTTGGTTCTAACTATCCATTCTTATATGTCAATAATACAAATATCTTATCTATATCATCTTATATTAAATGTATTATTGATTTCTTTTGAAATTATATAGATTTGTAAATATTTATTGATTTTTTTTATTTTTTTAATATTTTAAGTTAATTTACTTCCAAATATTTATATATTTTTATTTTAATAGTATGTTTTAAATCTTTAGTAAGTCTATACTTAAAAAATATTAAAATTATAAAATTATAAAATGAATCTTTATCTAATATATAAAATAATGAATTAAATATAAATATTTTGAAACTATAAAAATAAAATAAATACCTTTTATATATATATTTTTAAAACATACTATTTTTAGACTATATTTAAATATTATATATATATATATATATATATATATATATATATCTATTTGAAAACCATATAATCTAAATTCTAAGCATATTTATTAGATAACATATTGTCACATTAAATTATACCCCATTTTCAAATAAAGTGGCAAGCTTCTCTAACACAATCTTCATACACTCCTTCTTTCTTCAAATATCTACCACTATTGGTCTTTTTAACTTCACTTCATCCATACTTCTAAACAAGTACAAACTATTATAAATTTAAAAATTCTAAAAATTATTTATCTATTTAACAACATAAAAAATAAAAAAATCTAATTTACTATAAATTATGATAATTTAAAGTTAAAAGATAAATCATAATAAAAATTAAATGAATATATTTTACATTAAAGATAATTTACTTAAGAATTCAAGAGTTTGAACCTTACTAAGGCTCACAACTAGTGAAAATGGATGTCCTAGAGAGGCCAAGAGGCCTTAGTCTCATCTTCCTACTTATTTGTAAGGTGCTACAATCCATATAAGACATATGTAAATATTTTTTTATAAGTACTATACTAACTATTGGCTTTCCTATTTTCTATTATTATAACCACTTTATTTTTATCTTTGATCATACTATAATATTTAAAAGTATTATAGATAAATTCTTTTAAAATTTTAAAAATTTTAAAAATATTAATAGTAATTTAAGACTATTTTTTATCACCTTTATGATTTTTTATAATAATTTAATTAACTTAAATCAATTAAAAGTCTTATTTCTTACAATAATAACTAAAAAGATATGAGGTTCTTTCTTATATTTTTACTATCTACTAATTAATATTTATATATTTTTTTTATTGATACTTTTAGATAGAAGGCTATTATAGACATTGGTTCCAACAACTAAACACTAACTCCCACAATTAATAAAAAAATATCAAATTAACTAAGATAATTATCTTTAAGAATTACTAAGATTTTATTTTTATGAATTATTTTCTAATAATATTTTTTTAACTTATAAATCCTTATAATTTCTAATAAATACTTAAATAATAAAATATTATTTTTTTCATAATAATTTTATATTTTAATATTTTAATAAAAGTATTTTTTCAACAATTCCATTGATTAGGATCCATTGATGGAACTTACATTATATATGAATATATCATCTATTAAGGTTTTGTGTGGATTCATATCTACTATATAATGGTATTTAAGAGCATCACAATCAATCATTAGTAATAAAGGAGGACATAATAAAAGAATAAATCTATATTCTATAATATATTATTTTTAGTATTTTTATAAATATATTTAAATTCATAAAAAAATATTAATTTTACATTTTATTTATTGAACATCTATCTACTATATCAAATATTACTTAATCATTATGTAAATCAAAGAATATTTTTTTGCATTTTTTTGGATAGTTTTGTGAAGTAAATGAGATATTTAAAAAAATTGGTAGTTATAATTTGATATATTTGAAAGAATATTCTATTTTAAATTATATATTTTTTCATAATACAAATTTTATATTAAAATAAAAACACATGTTTTAGAGATGTTTATGCAATTTAAAGCTTATATAATTTTTTTTCTAATATTGTTTGAATTTTACTATTTTGTATTAAAATATTAATATCATAAAATAATATGTAGATTTTGCATATAGTTATAGTAGATATACAAAACTAAGATAAAAAATGTCTAAGGTTTATCATTTTTTTTTTCTTTCTTACAACAAAGACTCTCTTAAATAAGAAATAACATCTTGTAATTTGCTCCATGTATAAATTTTGTACGAACAATGGATAATCTAATTTACAATCCAAAACCATACAATAAACTTATTTAAGCTAGTTCCAAAGGAAAGAAGTCAAATTTTGCTTTTTTATTATTCTAATATTCGATGGTACAACACAATATAGACTCAAGTTTCTTTCATACAAACATGTGCATATAGTCTACACGTACAACACATACTCTAAATACAGTTAATCTTGTTCCCCTTGTCTCCAACAACTCCGTGAGGTCCCATCACATATTCGTGACAGTATCGAACATAATTTGTGGAGCACCTCTAAGATGTGAGAGTTCGTTCATTAGTTTAATCCCCCTCGTTGAGTGTCTGTATGTTATTTAGAGAGAGTGACATGAATATTTTCTACTATTTTTAGGAGTAGAAGGGCTCCATGAATGGTCAACACAGGAACAGCACATAAATGCCGGAAATCCTGTGACACGCAACCTTGCAAGACACTTAGTGGGTCCGAAGGGGAGGTCGACCCCACTGGTAAGCAAATTATCGACGTGATGTGAGGGTCTCAGCTGATGGGGTAGCAAGATCACGGCCGGTGGTGATACTTGGAATGAGTCTCCTTCATTCTAGGGGATGGGTGTCACAGCGAGTGTCTGCTTGTCAGCAACTTCTGCGATTTGCACTCCAGGTTGTGTTCCACCTGCAGTGTTGCAAATCGGAGTTGAGTTAGGGCTTTTGTGGTCTTTTCTGATTGCGTTCACTGCGATCCCTCATCCCGTCTGTTACCATCAATTTCCAGCTGGCAGACTTTTGTTGTGAAGCAACGGCTGGTTGTTTGATTCTGCCACTCTAACCCTGAGCAATTGCACTGGGTTAGGTTGAATTTGGCTTTTTCTTGCCATTTGTGCCTGACAGTTTAAGTGCATCTTGTAGCATTAGAAGATCGAGTTTCTTTTGGAGCAGGGTAATTGGTCAACCCTGCCGAACCACGACGAAGCGGGCCGAATTTGGAAATAAGGTGTCGGATGTCAAAGCTGGATAAGCTGAAGGTGCGGGACGCTATCAAACTTCTCGCCTTGATTCTACAGTTTCTGCCAAGAGTAGCTTCGTCGCCTGCCCAACGTTCGTAATTTGCGTCTTTTGATTAGCATCGCGCGATCGATTGAACTGTTTTTGAAACTTGCGAATTCGTGGCTGTAACGAATTCTCCTTCTTGTTCAGTTAGCTTCAAAGAAAAGTCTCTCTTGCTTTCTCCCACACAGCATGGCGGATACAACCCGTGTCCCATTTGTTGAATCGGAACCGCCTGACGACGTGCATAGACCTATTGGCATCGACACTGCTCCTAAGGAGGATGCGCACAAGGAAGCCAATAAAGGAAAAGCACCAGATTCGAAGCATGATTTCAGTGGCAATGCTCAACCGGCTCAAGAAAATTTGGGGAGAGAAATGGTAATCTGCGCAGTATCCCCTTTGAAGAGCAAGGATCCCCCCAAGCCAATCGAAGAGGAAGAGATTCTAGAGATAAAAACCCCTGGGTTTGTGCGCCTGTTTGGGACGTGTGACAGCTGTGAGGATAGCGACCATAGCATCAGACATGAAGCTCACGCTACCTCCTCCGACACAAGTGATGACGAATATCCTTCTTCGCCTGCACATCAGCCTCCTCACATGACCCCGGTTAGTCGTCTCGAATATTTCCTGTGCCTGTTTCATAACACGCGCATGTCTTCATTTTGTTTCTATGAATCTTAACTGGACACCTGAAACGCCAACTCAACCTTGAGAAGTAAAAATTATACGAGTGATTGTCTGTAGGCACGTGAATTTGACAGATAGGATCAAGTTATAATGAAGAGACTGCAACTTTTCGAACATTGTATTGGATTGGAACATATTTTTACAGGGCTTGATGACATTGTCATGTGTCTGACGGAGTACCTTGACTCACGAAATCCCTTCTAGTTAACACCACATTGTTATCGAATTGCAGGTTGTACATCTAAGGGTTCCCATGAAAGATGATCACGATGTCCGAAAGGTCGTAGCTGCACTTCAGATTAAAGGTGCGCTGTTACTCTTCAGTATCTTGTCCTGCAGTATTGCAATGAAAAACTATTCTTGTCTTTTCCAGTCAATTGAGAGCAATTCGAGCACATCAAACCATGTTGCCACGCAAGGAAAATGGTAGACAAAAAGTGGTTAAATGTGCTAGATCCTCATTGAATGAACTTGTTGGTTGTGCGAGATGCAGGAGTACTAGACATCGCTTGCGATCTTGCGAACCAGGTTGTGAAGGTAACCGGGAGTGCTGACCCAGATCGTCTCCTCAAGAAGGTCAAGAGAGTGAAGCGCAAGTCGAAGCTCATCTTTTACACTAACCCACTTGAGGTTCCACCCATCCCGGAGAACTTTCATTCTTCACCACTCCCTACTTCACCTCCACCTCGACCTTCATACGCCTTCCACCATCCTTCCTATGAAGAACGTTTCAGACCTCCCCATTCTCCTATCTTCACCAGAGAGTCCCAAGGCCCTTATGGCCCTTACGGCCCTTCTTCTCATTCTTCACGCCCTTCTGGTCGTCCGATGCATTACGAAGACGAATCTTTCTACCATCCTCGCAATCCCCCCCCTAATGTGAGACCTCCCCCTCCTCCCGTCTTCTACAGAGATGATTCCTTCTACCCTGAATATATTCCGTCCAATCTAAGAGCTCCCTGCAGTCCACCTCATTACAGCAGTAGTTCCTTCCATCGTGAACGTAGCCCACCTCATTCACGGCACTCCACCAGTCCCCCACGCCGCAGAACCTACTACCACGAGCGAAGCACTCCCAATTTTCGGCCTCCTTCGATGCACCACCCGGGCGGCCCTCCAAATTATTACGGTAGCCATCCATGGAGCCATGGAGTCCCATACTGGATGGACGCCCGGCCACCTATGCCAGAGCGAATGCAGCGTGTGTATCGTTGAGCATGTCACGAAGTGAGTTGAGGTACAGAATTCACTTCTGATAGATGAAATTGCATAGTTTATCAGCCATATATATGAACAGATTAGTTAGTGTACAGATTTCGATACCTCATCGCTTGCCTCCTGCACTGATCGTGAACAATCCTTAGTTGTGCCAAATCTGTATGTACAATTCTATCTGCAAATGGTGAATAATCTTTCGATCCTGGAATTCGTGGAAATATCGTTGAGGAACTTTTGAGCAAAATGTCTTGGATGTTACAAGATGGTGAGGTGTTCTTTGTTGCAATGAGAGGATTAGAACTTCTTGGACGTACTGAAAAGTATGCGGAAAGCTAGCACTTTCACTCAGCCGAAGGAGCGACAACAAAGTAAAAGAACTAGACAATATCGTGTATCCTCCTTCTGAACAAGGAAGGAGAGTGCATATTCTTCATACAGAAACTTGGGTCGAAGTCTAAGAATCAGAGCCTCCAAGTGTAAGCTTGAGCGCATGAACTACAGCCTAATGCTGGCGAACGTTCCCGTTATGGACTTTTCTTCACCTAGATCTATTTACACCTTGCGGCCTTTACATTCTCAATGTGCCACCTTTGGGTTGGTGACGGTTTGCGCACAACGCGAATGAGTTGCAACATCATGGAAGACAAACTTCTCATTCACGGGTGATTGATAATTTGGTTGCCTTCTGGCTCTTAAAGATTCGAAGCAAATCACTTTTGAGGCAGTTTGATCGATGCGGCAGTGTTAAGTGGTGGTGCTGACATCCGGAATTGGAATGGTATGAAGAGATGCAAGCAATCTAGGGTTTGTAGTAGACAGGGAAGTAGTGAAGGGATTTGGTAAGTGTAGCGGTGACATTGAGGATGGATTCTGTGCTGTCGAATAGTATACTGGTTGTGAGATTTGGCTACGATTTGGCGTCCACGAGTTGCGCCACTGCCTCAAGTGGTCTTGCAGTTTTGGATTTAAAAGTTGCCAGCTCTCGGGCACTACTTCTGCCCAACTTCTTGGGGCTGAAATGCGCACATGGAAGGCAATGCATGTCCCGTGGTAGATCCTCGAGTTTGAAGAGAGCAATAATGTTGAGAAGTTTCAAGAGGCGAGTAACGTCAATTAAGGGCAGTGTTTTAGTTCACATGACTTAGCTATAAACGCACAGAATTCAGGATTTAGGTCTGGCCCGGAGAAGAAGCTGATTCCTGCGGAATTGGTAGCGATGCCAAGCACGGAAGCTAGTGACGCATCTCGAGATCAACAATCTGGAAGAGATTGTATGGACTTAAGTCGGTGGCCCGTGGCACGCTTTCCGTCCCGCGATTGGCTCTTATCGGAGACGAGAGCTACCGCACAAGATATCCATCAAGCTATCTCGATGGTACTTTTCTATACTACAAGTTATCATCTCATGAATGTTTCGATGATTTGTTGGGTGTTTCCAACCACAAGCGCATGTTGCAACCAATTATTTATAGGGTTTGGGCGGCAATCCAAGCACTCAGCTTGTGATGTGAATGTTGATTGCCATACTGACTGATCGTTACAGACAGGAGAATTAGGTGAGGATAACTAAGCAGGGATTGACTGGGCTCACCATCGTGTGAGTGCAATATGACCTCGATCCGGGCGCGTCGGGAGGCTTACTTGCCGAGTTGGGCGAGATATCCCTGATAGTGCTGAAATTATCCGTGACCTGGTCGCCGGTAGCGATTCCTTGCTGTTTATGGGACCTCCTGGTGCTGTCGAGACCAATGCGAACAGGTACTTAGCATCAAATCGCACGATTGAGCTTGAACTTCAGAATCTTTTGTGTCTCGATCTAGGATACATTTGAAATTAAATAAATCCTCAAACCAGATGTTGCGCTTGTCGATGCTTTTGCAAGTATTGTGTTGATAGATGAGTGATTTCATGCAGGGAAGTTGCAAGTATGTTGGCTAATGAGTACCACAAGTGATTCGTCAGTGTGGGCGCATCGAATGAGATAGCAAGCAATGGCGACATTACTCACGCCGGCATTGGTATGGCTCGCCGTAAGCAAGTCCCCGAAGTTGGTCTACAACACAATTTAGATACCAAAAGAAACAGCCATTATTCTCATTTCAGTGATTGATATTGTCATGTCGTCTTTGTGTTTTGACTTGCTGCTCATGAACCACAGCTAATTGCGCATGCTTGCGAGTGATGATTGAAGCTGTGGAGACTAACATGTCCTAAGTGATTGTCATTGACGAGATTGAAACTGAGTTCAGAAGCACGAGCTGCGGGCACTGTAGCCTAATGTGGTATTAAGCTTGTGGTCACTGCACACGGTATGACGACTGATAATTTAATCAAGAATTTTACACTTCAAAATCTGGCCGGGGGCATTAAGCTGCGCACATTAGGATTTGTTCTGCATGTTCTCCTCTTGATTGAAGTTTCACGAATAATCATGCCAATGCTCGTCTGAACAATATGCTGCTTGGAAGACTCCAAACAAAATGCTTACAAGGTTGTTGAGATGGTTGTAAAACTGGAGGTGGTCTAAAAAGTGCGATTCTTGGTGATAAGGAAGCACGGAGGTGATAAGTGCAAAAGAGTGTGCTGGAACGGCAAGGACCGCTGGAGTTCTCATCCGCTTGCGAAATAATCTTGAGAACCGAGTGGCGAGTGCACCACTGCTTGGCAGCTGCCGTGGATGCGTTGCTTACTGGTTGATCTTACTCTTCTCTAATTCTACCTACAAAGCTCTCCATACTTTACATTGTGTTGATGGTCTTTTTTTTCACAAATCAAAAACCCTCTCATGCATGTGTCAGGTAAAGCGCTGAGGGTAGGGGTACGCAACTTGATTGAGAATGGCAGTTGGTGGTGGAGAATGTGTACAAGTACACCACACAATCAAGTCCTGGCCGTCATGATTCTGGCTCAAGCTTCAAATACGCGTCCGACTGGACTGATAAGAGTGAGGAGGGCGATTACGCAGGTATGGATTTCGGTGCAGACAGAGCAGCTGTGCAGGCGTAGGAGTGCTCCGATTCTCCAGTATCTACACAAGGTAATCAACTGATAAGAGTACATCAACCAGTGTCAGCTTTCAATAATTAATTCTTTCATCCAAATTAATGAAACTATTCAATCATGGATATCAATTCTTGTGTGTACTCTCCACTGAGTATTCATTGATTATTGAAGAATTCCTGGAGAGAGTGATGGATCCCATGGGATTAGAAAAGATGGTCCGGATCAAGGAAGACATTGGAGCTGCTGATGCAGTTCTCGCTCTTTGCTGCAAACTCATATCGAACTTGTGTGTCCGGGGAATGGCCAAGCCTCGGCAGGTCACTTTCTTCGCCATCAAGACCAACACAAGTGACCCAAATGGTGAGGGCAATGCATGCAATAATGAGCATGCAGGCAACATTTCCCTTGACTCTGATCACACACGAGGTGATAAGGGAGGGAAACTAGAACTACCAATCTACAAGCGGTCAATCTCAGCCCAGGACATTGATGCTTTAGAGGTAATCAAAATCCCTTCCCACCACCAACTCTGCAGAGACAGACAGGCAGATACCTGTAGCAGCCGAATACCAGCTCTTCTGCCATTTTGAGGTTTTGAATTCCATGTCTAAATGCAGAGCGAAGGCTGGTGTTGACCTTCGGTGAATAAACTGCATGATATCTAGAAGGGGCAACTAATTATCAGTGGAGCAGAGAGTGATTTCAAATGGTCAAGCTGCCGAATTCTTCCCTCAGTACTTCGAATCCTTTCTTCACAATCAGTGAGCAGGGGTCGGATGAGGCATTTGACGTTGAGGACAAAGGGTTCGATTCCTATGCAGAGGACCTGGATGTGTCCGTTGTACGAGGCACAAGCCTTCCCCGACTACCCATCCTAACCGGAGTGAGAAGAATCTTCCATCTCCATGACTTGCATATACTTGTACATTCTAGTATGAATTTGTCAGTGCTTTGGTCAGGCAACCCAGTTCTGCTGTCGGTAGGAATTGTGGAATCATCGAGGACCATCTGAATTACATACATCTTAGCACAGAAACCAGGTTCATGGAATGCTTATTGTTTTACAGTATCTGAACAGCTGTGTTCAACCATTACATACTTACAATGCTGAAGCTATTATTTTGTAATAAAATTTGGGTCTTTCCTTCAAACAAGCATGCTTTAATACGTACATTTCATAGAATTTAAAACAAGAGTAAAGATTGTTTTTTATGATAGATTATTTCTTTGAATTAAGTGAAATTATTACAGCTGTCTCCTATTAATTGTTGCAAAAAGAAAGATTAATTATTAGAGGTGAATAATGAATAAATAAATTTTTAGCAAAGATATCTATGGAGTCAATATGACATTTGTTGCCAAGCTTTTAAGTTTCAAAGACATCAATTAAATGATTCCATAAGTAGGTGACAACATGAGAAAGTAGATTGTATTGCAATGAAGATACAATGAAAATTAGTCTTGTTAGGATTCTATAATCTAAGTTATTTACTTTTATTCTAAAAGCTACATTGTTATGTTATGTAAAAACTAACTTGAAAATGTATTGTGCATCTAGCTATAGAAGTATTTGAATGTACTTTGAAGTTTGATTTATAACCCAATACAATGTATAAGGTATTTAAAAACATCCCTTTGCAACCTTAGACAACTTAAGTAAGCTTCTAATTATCTTAAGTACATCCTATCAACTTTAGAAAATTCTTAGATATATTTTATTATAATCTAATCAATTCTAGATAAACCATTAATAATCTTTAACATACTTTAATCAAACCTATGTCAAATCCTATTAATTTTTAATCAAATTCTAATTAAAGCCTGATTAAATCTTATCAACTTCTAATCAAATCCTAATTGAACCATGATCAAATCTTAACTCAATTCTAAAAGAATCTCAATTAAATCCTAATCAAATTTTAATAGAATCTTAAAAGAACCTTAATTAATTTTTAATCATATCTTAAATCGTGAATCTTAATCAAACCTTAAATTCTAAACTTTGACCAAATCTTAATAAAATCTTAACAAAATCTTAATCAAATCTTAATTAGATCTTGTTAAAATCCTAAAAGTATCTTAATTGAATCTTAATCAAATCTTCATCAAATCCTAAATTATAATCAAATTTTAATCAAATATTAAATAATCCTAATAAAAGCTTCATCAAATCTTATAAGAGATTCAAATCCTCAATAACTAATAATTTAATTATTAATTCTAATTCAAAATTTATAAATCTTTCAATTTCTTAATTGAAAATAAGTACAAAAAATTTAAAGAACATCAAATTTATCAAATGGGAGATAAACCTCATAATTTGCTTGGATGTCAATTGGCCTTGTTTTCAATCTTGATGTCAATCTCCTAGCTTTGATATCTCTAGTTTTCACTATCCAATTGATTTCATATTTTGTACAATTGTTGATAATCAAGTCTACTACTAGTGCATCAAACTTTATCTCAATCTAATTAAGAGATTGTTTCAAAACTTAAAACCCTCATTGGCCCTCCAAACTCCAATATTTGAAACTGTCATGGACACAAAAATACAGACTCGAGATCTAACAAGAAGTTCAAAAAGAACTGGCAAGAACTAGATTAATCAGATGAATACAAAAACAACACCAAAGAGGTGAGCTAGAGCTCCAAGAGATGTGTTGTCGAGACTGAAGAACTCTTCAGCCTCGATTCCAATACATACTCCTATTTAGGAAGCTTCTCAAGCAACTTCTACCAACTAGGAAGCTTCTAGAAGATTCCAGAGACTTGCTTCTAGAAGGTTCTAGAAACTTGTCTCTAGAAGGTTCTAAAGACTATGTCCCTAACATCTTCTACCAACTAAGAAGCTTCTAGAAGGTTCCAGAGACTTGCTTCTAGAAAGTTCTAGAAACTTGTCTCTAGAATGTTCTAAGGACTATGTCCCTAACATCATCCCCTCCTTTAGCTTCGAGGTCTCTGAGAAGCAATGTTGTTATTAATCAGTACCAATAGAAGAAAATGAAGATCTGTCGTATAACGTCTACTATGAAGTCCAACTGTTGTTCATGAGGCAAGTGGTTCATTGGCCGTTGAAGCCAACGGTAGTGGCCCACTCCTTTGACTTTTGACCAAGTATGAACTTTCGTATCCTCATTGTGAAATTGTCCCACAAACATGTCTTCTGGCTTACCATCATAAGCAGGCTCGAACTCAAATACAATAACCAATGATCGGTTACTCGGTATCCTCCGTCCTCGTTGTGGTGTAAGCAATTCTTCATCTCGGGGTCGCCTTCGTGAGCTAGTTGGTTGAGATAATCTGACTGGCATAGTATCTACCTCTTGGCTATCCATATCAGAAGACCAAACTATGGCTACTGAAAAAATTCTACTTTATCTTGGAGAAAATAACTACGTCAACTACGAATTTTGGTGTGCTCTCCCCCTTTCTTATATTCTTAGGTGAGCAAGCTTCAGAAGGAAGCTATCATCAAACCAGCTTAGGTTTATGAAGATGTTGTTGATGAAAACTCTTGTACCTTTTGCCACGTATTGGCGAAATTTTTAGCTGGCTCCCACGTTCGCTCGTTAATGTCGTAGCCACACCAATGGACAAGATATTCCAACTTGCCCCACCTTCGCCATGAATCCAGCACCTTTTCAACCTCGTATTCCTCGTGGTTCTCGATCTCAATACTAGGTGGCGGACATTGCACTCTTCCAAGAAAAGATGACTCTCGATAAGGCTCCAACAGAGAAACATGAAAGACTAGATTTACCTTCATAGAAGCTGGTAATTCCAAACGGTATGCCACTGGATTGATTTGCTTCTGGATGATAAATGGTCCCAATCTTTGATAGTCCAACTTATCACATGGTCGCTTGGTTTTGATATTCCGTCGAAGAAGCCATGCTTGATCTCCAATTTTGAAAGTAGGTGCTTGATTCTAAAATCTATCTGTAGACGCCTTGTAGGATTCTTGAGCGGATTGTAATTGAAGCTTCAATGTATTTTGAAGCTCTGATAGTTGTTTTCCAAATCCTTCAGCAGTTGGATTGTTATTTGTTGACGGACTCAATAAATCAAGCTTCGGATGATACCCATAGTTGGAAAAGAATGGTGTGTATTGAGTCGACGCTTGGAGGGTGTTGTTATATGCAAACTTGGCTAGCGACAGATATGCGGTCCAATCGTCTTGCTGATAGTTGATGCTACATCGTAAGTATTGTTCCAAGACTTGGTTCATCCGTTCTGTTTGGCCGTCAGTTTGAGGATGAAAAGTCGAAGAAAGCTTGATATCCACCTTTAGTATCTCAAAAAGAGATCTCCAAAACTTTGATACGAACTGGGTTCTTCAATCTGATACGATATCATCTGATAGTCCATGATATCGATATACCTTATCGAGAAAGAGCCTTGCTATGACTTCACTAGATGATGTCTTCTTGCAAGGGACAAAGGGCACCATCTTTGTAAGCCGATCTACCACAACAAAGATGCTGTCAAATGAATTTGATGATGGTAGGTCCGTGATGAAGTACATGGAAACTAAAGACCATAGTCGACGTAGAATCGGCAATGGATGTACGAGTTCATAAGGGCGATGCCGAGGATTCTTAGATCTTGAACAGATGTTGTTTGAGAGGACAAAATCTTTCACATCCTTCTACATTTGAGGCCACCAAAAATCTCGAGAAATAAGCTCCAAGGTCTTGTTGAATCCAAAATGTCCCGCAGTTGGAAAATCGTGGCGAGATTGAAGAACTCGGAGTCGTGCTGGTCCTTTTGGGATATACAACCGCTCCTCAAAGTATAAAAGATCTCCCTCTACCTTAAACTTGTCGTCATTGGCACGTTGCTTGATATCAATGGCTACTGAATCTTCAATGGTCACGGCACGTACCTGATTCAGGAAGTCAGCATCAATTGGCACAATAGTAGGACAAAGCCTAAATTGCTCTGGCTTCAACAACGTCATACATTGTTGATCAAACGCTGCTTTTTCAACCTTTGGTACAAGATACGATCTCCTCGATAAGGCATCAGATAGTCCTTGTTGCTTTCCAAGTCGATAAGTGATAATAAAATCGAACCTAGATAGCGACATACTCCACCAAACTTGACGTCGATTTAGAACTCGAGCCGACATGAAATACTCCAAATTCATATGATTTGTGTATACGATCACTGGGTGTGTAGCTCCTTCAAGAAAGTGACGACATTCTTGAAAAGAATCCAATATAGTAAGAAGTTCTTTATCGTGCATCTCATAATTGATTTCAGCAGCAAAGAACTTTCGAGAATAGAATGCAACCGGATGGAGCTTCTTGTCTTCTCCTATTTGTGAAAGTACAACTCCCAAAGCAAAATCCAAAGCATCAGTTTCTAAATAAAAGGCCTTTGTAAAGTCTGGATGTACCAAGATTGGAGCCGTAATAAATGCGGTCTTCAAGTCTTCAAATGCCTTCTCTGCTAGAGGTCCCCATTCCAACTTATCCTTGCATGTCAATCGAGTGAGAGGAGCAGCAACTTGAGAGTAATTCTTGATGAAGATCCGATAGAAGTTAGCAAAACCAAGAAAGTATTATACGTCTCGAACTGTCTTCGGAACCTCCCAGGACACGATTGCTTCCACCTTCTTGGGGTCCATCTTCAAGCCTTCCGTAGTCACCACGAACTCCAAAAATTCCATCTCCATTTAGTGAAATAAACACTTCTCCAACTTGGCATATAGTCCTCACTCGTGTAGTTTCTCCAAGACCAAAATGGCCATACCTTGTACGGAACGCTGTCTTCCACTCATCTCCTTCTTTGATTCGTACGAGGTTGTAAGCTCCCCTTAGATCAATTTTTATAAAGATCCTTGCACGTCCAAGTTGTTCTAAGAGACCAGAAATCAAGGGTAACGGGTAACGATTCTTCTTTGTTACCTTGTTGAGGCCTCGATAGTCCACCCACATCCACAACGAGCCATCTTTCTTCTTCACAAATAAGATGGGTGCTCCAGTTGACGATTTTGAATGACAGATGAAGTTCTTGGTTAGATTCTCGTCCATGTACTTCCGCAACTCCGCCAACTCCGTCTGCGATAGATTATAGATTGGGCCAAAAGGCAGTTGTGCTCCTTCTTGCAAGTCTATGGCGCAATCATATGGTCGGTGTTCCGGTA